TAAGTCTAACTTCTTCCTACTCCGTTCAAGCATGTACTAGGTATAAGTAAATTGATATTGGATTATTATTGTTGGATATGTGTGAAATTACATGTGTTGACATATCAACTGTTTTACATGCTTGAATGAATAAATCAAATCAAATCAAATCAAATGTGTCTTGTCATAGGCATGTTATAGCTTCTGTTAAAATTTTATTTCTGTGCTAGATTTCACCCTGGGGTCTTTTATTTGTATCTAACACGTTCCATCAAACATGTATCCATGTTAGCTTCCAGAGGTGGACATGAAACAAATCCATTGTCAAAAGGCTCATATCAAACCAGTTCAGGCTTTGAACCACTGAGGTTTTCATTATCATGATCACAGCCATCACATGCAAACTGAAGCTTGCACTTATCAGTGCACAGTGAACAGCTCCTCTAGAGTGTTTGTAAGTTAGATTGTTTGCCCTGCCTGTTTGTTTTCTAGCAACTATTAACCTGTTCGCAATAACAATAAAGTTTCAGGAAATAGGAATTTACCTATTCTTGTCACTCTTGAAATCGTTACATTGACATGTTGCACTGCACATTTAGAAAGTACAGAAAGTTCATATGTCTTATACACATGACAAAACCTTTTATATACATTTACACATACTATAGCATATAATATGAGGATAAAATAATATTTGTCACAGCCAGTAAAATGGAGTGTTACCCAGCATAGTATCTATCTATCTATCTATCTATCTATCTATCTATCTATCTATCTATCTATCTATCTATCGCTTTGTTTATTTATCTCTGTGCTTTGTCATGTTTTTGTTAACATTTACAATATAGGCTCATCTTGGGCTCTTAGTTTATAGCAATGCCCTGTAAATTACACTTGTCCACAAGCACCATCTGCTTTTACTGTTGCATGTCTTCTGTACATGTGATGAATCCTGTTACTGCTGTCTTTTCTGAGATGCCAGCATGTCTGTGTGTGCATATGTGTCAGGAATTGCGTGCTAGTTGAGGGAAGTACAGGTAATAGATTAATATCAGAGCTGGCTCAGGCACCACATTGCTGTGAGGTGACAGCCTGTCATTATCACAAACACGGTCTCACACACATGAGCACACACACCATCACTAGCGTATGCACATGCACACACCAAATACAGTATACATCCAAGCACATACACTTCTCCTGTCTCACCTGTCTCTCTTGCTCCCATCCACTTTATTTCCTTGTCTCTCTCTGTGGCACAGTGGAACTGGCCTGTGATCATCTCAGACTGCAGCAGGCTCTTGAGCTTGTTCCATCTAGTTTTCAACAGCAGAACCAATGCTGAGCTCAGACGTCTTTGTGAAGCCAGTGTTGTGCTCCAAACATCATGACAGCAGAGTACTTTGATGCTTGTCATCATATGAACCCTTGGGGTTTATGTCCTCCAAACTTAACATAATAGTTTGCCTAAGGCAGTAGCCAGACAATGGTGGGCGTGCACTCCGAAGTCATCAGTTCCAAACCGTCAGTAATCCTCACCTGACCTTTCTCCCTGGCAGAAACATTCATCTTATTAAGTCATTTCTTCAGTACTGAACTGCATGATTGAACTGTGGAAACATCTGAGTAAGTCAGCGTTGATAAAGGGCCCAGCAAACACTGGATAGCCTGTTTTCCACACCCACAGAGGGATAAATGCCAGAAACTTCTCAAAGCTCAGATGTAAAAATGTGCAGTGGTTTTGGTTAAAGAATTTCCCTATATCAAGAAAATGTCATTTGATTCAAGTTGATTCCCTTCTGTCCATTGATCCAAGTTTGCTTGCACTGTGAATCAAGTAAAATGGTTAAATTTTGACATTCAGTTTTCTTAATGAATGCCTAGATAAGGTCTGCTTTTACAGATTCATTTGTGGTCATGTCTGTGGTTTCCAGTCATGGTGATGACACTGATTGCCATTAAGCAAAGTAAAGCTGGAGAAGCTGGAGAATTGCTCAGCCTGCACTTATTACTGATAGAAGGTCCTCTAGTAAAAATTGCAACTATGATCATAATAAACACTATTAATTACACATATCCTGCTTGCTGAATGTGATGTGCTTGCTGTTGAATCAAGTTTTTGTGGTGGGCCTCAATGCAGGAAGAGATTATTCAAAAGGAGTTTCGAGACAGAAGTGCTGTTTAATGTACAAGACTGCATAATCTGAAAATATGTTTTGTGGCATTCTTAAATTTGTGATAGTTATGTTGGAAAAATATCATCATCTAGTGACATGTCTGTTTTTCTCCCTCTGTCTTTTCAGTCCTATGCTCCTCCCCCTCCGCCAATGGCTCCACCCAGCCCTAGCACCGCCGGAGGAGGAGGTGGAGGTGGAGGAGGAGGTCAAGGAGGAGGACTAGTGGAGCAACTCAGTAAAACCAACCTGTACATCAGAGGTCTGCCGCCTGCCACCACCGATCAGGACCTCATCAAACTCTGCCAGCCGTGAGTTCTGTTCTGTTCAGCTTAATCTGGTCCTGTTATTGCCCTGCAGATGTATTTAAAAGCATCCCTCAGTGTTCAGCTGGGTTCACTCCAGTGCCGCATAGTTCAGTTCAGCTTGTGGTGATTACTTTTGAGTCCAGCAGCAGCTTCTAATGAGTATCAACAGTTTGCTCTTGACCTCTGTGTTCTTCCCCTGTGCTTCCTCAGAGGAAACAACACATGCCAGCTGGGCCTAACCCATCCGCTCTGCTCTGCACTGGGTCAGACACACACATCCTTCTGTCTATCACCAGAGTTTGTTAACCACTCGTTCCAGTGTTTTGACACATTTCTTCTTTAAAGTCATGGAGATGTTTTACAAAGTGACAGACCTCTTCTCCCATTCCATAATAATGCCAGTGCAATGATGCTTAAAAGAAATGCATTTGTGCTGCATTCAAAGCTACCAAGTGATGCCAGTAAAATTTGAAATGTAGTGACTTTGACAATCCAGTATTGTACAGTAATCACTGCAAAAATAATTTACCGGACATTTAAACATTTAAGTAAAAGCTTTCTGCATGATCAGTGAGACATATTGCTATGTTACACCTGACAAACTCTGATCCAGGGTTTCTTTTAACCCACTGTTTGGCAGCAGAACCACGCTTTTGCTAAAAGTCACTCCTGTCCTGCACATTTCATTCCCAATTGTGCCCTGGTGAACAAACAAAGTCAACATAGAATGTAATGCAAACAGTAAACCAGCTCCCCCAGAGAGAATCTTGTTTGCCTTCAGCTAGTACTGAGATTATCAAATGCAATTGTAGAATGGCATATTGTGCTGTATGTTCTACTGGAAAAGGTTTTCTAAATTCGCATTAGCATTCCAAATTGATGTAATTGCTTTTAGAGTAGATAAATAAAATGTGAAGAATATAACACACACACCAAGCCCTTCTGCGTGTCAGTGGCAGTTCAAGCCTGTTGTATTTCAGCTTAGCCCTGGAGGCGTTCTGGAGAAACAGGGTGAAAAATGGGGGCCAATAAAAGTTTCATTAGAGGCCCAGTCAGTGTGCCAAGTGGCCACTAACATTTAGGAAAGGTCAATCGGGGAGGGGGACCTGTGTGTGCAGTTGGACAGCAGTCTTGGGTTTCCAACTCCCTCTGGCTTTTGAAAATAGACTGAGTGGAAGTTTCCTGTCACTCACTGACATGACATGAACGCTTGCACACAAACAAGGATTTCATTCATGCACACAGTTAAAATAATGCAAGTATAGTCCCTTTACACTGACATGCACAGATACACACGCACACCCTTTCAGCTCAATGTCATCCTCATCCTTATTGTTACCAAGCATGGCTTTTATGTGTGCCAGCTCGCCCACCATCAACGTCCTCTCCCTTCCCATTCTGTCATCCCCCTTGTTTCCTCCTCCCTCTCCTCTCTGTTTCCCTCCCTCTATCCCTCACCCCTCCCTCCATGCCTCTTTCTCTGTCTCTGTGCCAGTTTTCAGAGTGTCAGTGAAAAGTGCTGTTGTCAGCTGACATTTCCAATCACTCCCCCAGTTGCCCAAACTATGGACACACTTTTAACGTCTGGGGACAGAGAAGGACATGAGCAGAATCTAAAGCAGAGCACAAGAGCAATTTTTCTTGCTCACTCGTTCATTTTCTCTCACACTTGTTGTCTCTCTGTCCCTTTTTCTCATTCTTGCCACTACTCTACTCTATCTATCTATCTATCTATCTATCTATCTATCTATCTATCTATCTATCTATCTATCTATCTATCTATCTATCAGCTACTTCCTGCTTCATGATGAAGAGGTTGTAGTTTGAGAACAGATGAGCTTTAACCACTCAAGGTCAAAACACTGAAGAGGTTCACAGTCTCTTGTTAATCACCAGCAGTTGAGTTAGAAGGATTGAAATCTTACTCTAAAATCTGCAGAATGGTTCATGGAAATTTGAAAAGCTGCTTTGGTAGAAGATTGATATGAAACTTGAACCCTAGAAATATCCCTTCATCATGAAGTATATTATCTAATACTTCCACCAGAGATTCCATCTTTAATTATCTACTATTTTATGAGCAAAACCCTGTGGACAAGAATTAATCCAAGTAATAAAGCTTAAATATTGTTGGTGGGTGTTGCATGCAAAGCCAGTGCTTGCCAACAGGCAAATGACAAAGTAGGAGACTATTATACATTTACTGTACTCTTAGCAGTGTATTATGGTACCATACACTGGGTTGTGCTTATACAGTGGATCTTATTATTCTAACATAGTCTGATTATAATATTGCTGGCAAAACTATGAGTTTATTTTTAAAATTGGAAACACTAGTTCACAAAATCTCAGTGTTCATTTATTTAGTAGCTGTTGCTTTGGTGAAGTTTGGACAGTTGCCATTGAAGTGTAAATGTACTTAGAGTAAACATCAAATTTTTTAACACTCTAAAACAAAACAAAACAAAAATCATTTTTTGGAAATGGAAGCATATGATCCCCGCCCAATAGTATTTTATTAATTAAATGAAATGAAGGGCCCTCACACCCACGCAGGCGTTTTCATTTATTCTGACTGCGTAGACCTCTGCTCATGTTACAGGTGGGCTGAGAATTACATGATGTCACCCAACTCCATGTATCAATAAGAATGATAAAAATGTAATTTGCCCCACCTCCTCAGGAGCAACAAATGTAGTATATGTCAATCAAACACAGTCTGCTAATGCCCACACAGTCCTCCCTCTATGGAGACTTACTGTTTTTACAGCGTCACCTGACTTGCTCCTGCTGTAATTACTACGGCCACTTGAGGTCACCTTTCAGGGGGGTGCAGTGTCAAGAATATGTAGCTTCGGATGGGTGCAGTTCACCTCTTCTGAGGCATTGTTATGGGTGTGATAACAACTAATAATGGATATTTAATGGAGTTATAATATTCAAAGCTAGTGGATTCTCTTAATGCACAAGTTTGTCAACGAGGATCTCAAACACCTGAGCTCTACTCCAAAGCTGACTGGATATCGGTGCAGTAAAGCTGCCAGTGTGCTTCATCAGAAGTGCTTGTTTGATGGTTGAACAACTTCAGAAACCTCACAGTGTTCGGATGTTTGAGGGAGCTGCGTCCAAAAATTCCAGTAGCTCCCCGCAATGAACAATATAACATTTAAACCCTCTGGTTTGAATCTCTCTCTCTTTTTCCACTTGATTCCTCCAGTTTCTGTCACATTTCATGTTTGCTACCAAGTGCAATGCTATGAATGCTTTCCAGGAGATGTATACCCATTATTCCCATGTGAACTATTTTTGAGTCTCTCCACTCTCTATGATGACCTGCTTTTCACCCTGCCTTTGAGTGTGGCCATTTGAAACAGCAATGGACTCTATACCTTTTGATATGGTTGGACAACACATCTGAGCATAACACAGATCTTAGGGTCCACATTTATGCTCTTTTGCCTGCACTCTGGTCTTGTCATGCCTAATTTTACAGCAATTATACTACCAGTCAAAAGTGTGGATGCACTTTTTCATTCACTTCCATGGGAAAGTGTGTCCAGACTTTTGATCTATCGTGAATCGGTACAAAGAGCCCTTATTTAGGATCCTTAATGGAGAAGATATCGAGGTCTTTGAGTTATGGTCAGGGATGCAATAGAAATTAAACCCATGTAAAGTGTATTTATCCATTTGAGTATACCCAACTACTGAATCTAGCATAAATCTTTATGGCAAAAGTTCAAACTTCACCCAATATTGTTATCAGATGAAATGAAGATAAGAATAAGAAAAGAGAAATATCAACTAATGCTTTTTCTCACAATATGATGACTCTTGTGTTTATACTTGTGTTTGTTTTACCTTATGATGACCACAGGTTTGTGGTCATATAGTAGGTTACCCATTTTATTACACCACTACTATAATACCAACTCACAAAATACAAAACCAAAGTGCCTGGGAGCTACTAATTAAAACTTCATGGGAAGCCCTTTTGGCAGATAAACTTAATTTTTCAGTGACATCGAGCAGTCTTCTAAATTCACAGCACATTGCCTTTTCATCATGGAAACTTTCCTTTATTGTGCCTGAAGATGTTAAAGTACATATGGGGAATGAATGTGAAAACTTCTGAAGCACCTCTGTGTTTGTCTCTGTTTGAGTCTAACTGGCGGGGTGAGGGTGGGGGGCAGAGACAAGACAGCTGTATCGGATCCCCAATTAGGAGATACCACACACAGAGACCAACCTGCGTGTACGCTCATTAATGCACACCCACACACTCATACACATACCGTCCACTGCCTCATACATAACACACAATCAACAAACACAGAGTGTGCACATATACATAATGTATATATATATATATATATATACACTCACAGACATCATGGAGAGCTGTAGAAATTATGTCTGTGGGTGGGAACTGTGTCAGTACACATTAAACGGTGTGCATCCATAGGCTGACAGTGTTGCACAAGAGGATTCAAACACAGATCTGATGCTGTGAGGGCCCTTTGAGGACTATCATTAACACTTCACACACACAGCCGGGGTGCACATAGATTTTGTCACAGCCTGCCAAATTTGGGTGCCCTGAGCTTGTATTGACATTTCCCCTTAATGCCCAAGTTCCTTCCACAGTCTGGAAAATACTGACGATTTGAATGATCTCACTGTCTTTTGTGCATCAGAATTCTAGGTGGAAGAATTCAAAACTTCATTTTTGGTAAGGATTCTAAGGACTTTCTGTGTAGTGAAAAAGACATATACTTGTCATAGTAAAAGTCAGACTGCCCCCACCCCCCACCCGATCCAGATCTCTGTGGAGAGTTATTTTTCTCTTGCTTATAATATTGTGTTGTGGGCTTTGTAGCAATTCTAAGAAGCCATGAAAACTGAGAATTTTAGGTTTACCAGCAGCCCCTGGTGAGTGGGTTATGACTCATGATACAGACACCATGTAAGACATTTTGGGAATTTTTGTCAGTGCACTGTAT